GTAGCTGAATATAATTACACGTGGGCTGTACTATTTTCATGGCAATAAATTTTTATTAATTTTGTAAAATACGTACAATTCACACGAAATGCAATTATCCGCTAACTTAATCAGTGGCAATATAGAATTTCTTTAAATTAGATAAATTACATTATAAATTAAGTAATTTCCTGAATAGTATGAACATAAAGAGGTTTAATGGGCAATACTTCCTGCTCATGGATAATTATTAAACATGTGCGCATGGATAATTATTGAACAAATAAATATAATACGTCCAGTAGGGTATTGGCCGCCACTTGATTAAATCAATACAATTAACAATCCGTTCGTATTTAACATATTTGGAACATATTTGGAAATAAATAAAAATCTGAAAGATTCAGCATGGTGGATGCCTGATACTATCAATTGGTTAAGATGATGTAAGGTTCACACTCATAAACCTTCAGTTAGCCAAGAGGCTTTTCATCCTATTGAATTTCGCATAGGGGCATTCAGCTAAATATTTCACTTAAATAATTTTGCTTTTTTGACAAAAATTAATATTCAATTTTTATTGAAAGTGATTGATGCAAAATATTTCTTGGTGATTATAATTATGAAACTTATGTGGTAAGAATAAGTTCAGGAAAAAAGGAGAATTTTCCAATTTGTCACGCGCATATGGAACTATTTTACGTGGTCATTATTTTATGATGGGCATTTGTAACCTGATAATATAAAAAAAATTTGTATACTCTCATGTTTAATTACCGTTAAAGAATACTATTATATCCGTGTGATTTACAAATGTTAAGCGATATAAAAGGTGAACATATTTTATCCTTCGTGTAAAATCCAAGGACACGAATCTGACTGTTGACTATAGATCTAGATATCTCTTGGAATATCTGTGTTATAGGAACAAGGAGCATCACACGATCATGCCTGAAAACAAATCCTTATATTAACTTGACCAAAAATAACGTTTTCAACAAACAATTTCTTTATTTTTACGCAGACAATTTAATTGAATCAATCCTTTATTTCTAGGAGTTTTTTCTTTCTTTCTGAGCATCGGTATGTCATGAGACTGAAATATTTCGGCATCAATCCGTGCTATTCAGCATGATCAACTAATAAATATAGCTTTACATATTAAAAGTTAATAGCGTTTTGGCTTATCTTGAAAATACAGGGATTTTACTGCCGCTCATTGTTTGGATAGGGTATGAATTGCCAATGGATTTTCTCCTTAAGGCCAACATTTTTTTATAAAATGTTTTACGGGACCGCCGACCGTATTTTTAGAGAAAATCAAATAAAAATAAAAGTTAATATAAGAACTTTTATTTTCATTTTGCCCGCCGACCTCTCTTACCCACTTCTGTCAAAATTAAAAGTTAATTGGTATGGAACACGTTTTTAACTTTAGTTGTTAACGATACTTAACACTTGCTTAAAACAACTGACAAAAGTTAGCCCTTTGATGTTTACAAGAATGTTACAAAAGACGTATCAAAAGGGAAGGGCAATAACTTTACAAGCTTGTAATAAATTTACCCGTGTGAATATCACGCGACACCGGGTCACGGAAGTTCGATTTTTTCGAAACTTGTTTTCAACACAACTATGGCAATTTGAGTAATAAATATTAGAGCATTTAATCAAACATGATAGCCTGTAAAGCTGTTAGAAAGCACGACTGGTTAATATGAAAAAGGCAAAGCCTCAAAGCGAGCTCAATGTATTTTTTACGTGAAATAGTATGAAATAATCGCTCATTTTTATTTCAAATGCAGTAACGAGTGCGTGTGACGTCACACGTACTGTGTTAAATATGGCTCCGCCCCTGTCGTGAAATGAATAACGAGTTTTGAAAACGTTGATAAAACTTTGTTTGTTTATTTCACTCTATAATTTTTCAAGCGAAATAAAGATTATTCAAAGTGAAATAAATGTAAAACTTAAAACGTTTGCGACATTAAAATAGCGTACTTGATTTGTTTGTTTTGCACGTGCTGTTTGGCGCTACATTGTGACGTCACGTAAACAATACTTTAAACGTCTGTACAGCGTTAACGACTGAATAAAAGGTATTGGTGTTCGGATTCATTTTCTTAGTTAGACCATTTTCTTTCATTCTAGATAGTTTTCACAACAAAATGCGACAAAAAATTGTTTTTATTTATCAGATTTCAAACAAAATGGCGCCTTCGATTTTCATTTTTTATACACAGCTTCCGTTATTCTGGTCCCCTGTCCAATTATGGTTCCCATAAACGTGCGCTGGTGACCAGTCTACACATCCGTTTTCAGTCAGAGTTCCTCAGTTTTTATCGTTATCTTTAAATTCAAAAGGTTGCGATGTGTCCAATTCGGTACTTTGGACGAAAGTTTTCAAAACCATCACTTAGCAGGTACTCGCGTTACCGTAAAGCTCGCTTTGCGAGCAGGCCCTTCGGGCCAGCTCGTCGAGCTCGCTATTAACATCCATTGCCTAAGTTGAATTACCTTCACTGTCAGAACAGTTGTAAAAAATTAAATGGGCACGGGATCAAAGTCGTTGATCGACTATGGTGTCAAAATGAAATATTACTGGATTTACCACGGACCATGAGAATACTTCCACACATGAAAATTTAGACTCCTGTATAGGTTTTATAAAGAAATATAAGTTAAATTTACTTAGACAGATTGAGAAAAATGAGTAATAAGTGAGTTCTACTTGCATTGTAGATTTATTGTAAGTAAATTGATAGTGAAAACTTTTTATTATGAATCATTGAAAACAATTGAATACTTTATTATACGAAAACAATAAATTCCTGAAAGTTAATTGGTGGACAGATTTTTGTTGTTGTACAATGCTTCTTTATAATTGAACACGGTCATCTATAACATTTATTAAGTTAATATTAGTATCATGACAGGTAGTAATGTGTATTTTTAGAAGTTTTTTACTAGATCAATATTGAGGAAATTGGTCTTTTTTCAATGTAAGATTCTGACTATGAGCATAAGTCCTCTAAATTGACATTTCTGTAAAAACTGCCAATAATAAATTCTCAACAGAAAACCCTGATTTTGTAACAATGTATGCCATTTGATTTTCTATTTACTGTCAATTGCTTTCATTTTACTAATTATTTGAAATATGAATAATTTTCAGAAATTGCAATTTTTTTGCACATACAGAACTTACTCTCTTAAAGATAATTTGAAGTTGTTGATTCAATTTACCTTGTGAAACTGACATTGTACATTATTATGTTTGTACCTCTGTGAATGAATCACTCTCCCTTTGTGGTGTTGTGGATTAGAATCCTGTCAGGAAGTTAATTTGGATTCCTGTGAGGAAACTATCAGTAAGCTTATGATAGGTAGGTGGTTCTACCTGGTTGCAAGCTTGTGTCAGTAAAGCTTGAGAGTGGCAATACGACATTGTTTGGATACTCTTGAAATGAAGGGACTAAACAATGAATTTGGAGTTGTGTGGCATGTTTGCCCTAAACGTGAAAAGACAAAACTAATAGAAACTAGATCAGCATTTAATAGCTACTAAAAACAAAAGCAAAAGTGACTTAAAACATTTTTTTTTTTCAATTATTTTGTTTAAAATTATGTCAAAAATACTTCAAAACTATAAAATCATTGATTTTATTTACAAAAAATCTGTTTTTGGAGTCTTAAAAAAAATGTTTGAAAATAAAAATTTTTAACCTCTTTTATCATTTTATTTTTATTTTGTGGTCGACTGATAAAAAAATTGACTTTTATTTTTATTTTTATTTATCCCCCCCGACCCAATTTTTTAAAAAAATATCCCGTAAAACATTTAATAAAAAAATGTTGGCCTAAGAAACGTGCTACGATATCGTTCTGTTTTGGTTAAATTTTTCAATCAAGTTTCTGATGTTTCCTATTGCATTTGATTAATTTTGTGGTTTTATTGCAGTGATGGCCCTAAAATACAGAATAAATCAAGTGAATTGAAATTAGATGGAATTGAAATAAAGAATTTGCTGTTTTACCTTTGATTTTCCTTTTTAATGTGTTTTAAGGTCTTATCTGGTAAACCCCGTCGTATTTTAAAGTTTCTTATAAATATTAATTACAATTTCACAAACACGATATTTGAGACGCAAACATTATTAGAATTTCACCCCCCCTCCCCCCAAAAAAAAGTTAATTAAATAAATAAATATACATAAGGATATCGTGTTCTCTTCAATTAAGAAGTAAATACATTTCCTAAGAATTCAAAAATATACATTATTCAACCAGTGCTATATAGAATGGAAAAATTACTCGCACAACTCACTCACGTAACAGAATAGGTATATAGGGTTAATGTATGTCTAGGGAAGACAATTCTCAAAAAAATATTTTCATAGGTTCACTTCATCCGACTTGATCCTTATAACAGTATCACTTCATGCATTAAGTAATAATACTAGACAATTTGCTCGCATACTTTTAAAAATGTATTTAACTTATAAGTGTGTGTAATCGTTTTGCAGTTACTGGTGTTGAACATAATTCTGATAATCATATTGACTGCATTGTGAAAATAAATTTCACTTGAGTCGAGTTCTAATTATAAATTGCAGTTATATGTTTATTTTTATAAAATCAAAATGAAAAATAAGCCCTGAGGGAACAATGATATATCTTTTACTGTCAAATTTAGCAGAAAAAGATAAGCTGTTCTGTATGACCTAGTAACGTAAAATGATAAATAAAGATAATGAATTAAATGAACTATAATAAAATTTGATCGATTTTCATCAATATTTTAGCATATTAAATACTTAAGACTATTGTAAAAGCAGATAATGGTTTACTCTTTGAAGCAGCACTTCATATCATTATTTCAAGTTGACAAATGATGTATTGGTGTTGACTTAAAACAAACATATTTGTAGTAGAATCATTCGTAATATGGTCTTCGCATTTTATGCAATTACTTTATATTGAGATTTTCTATTAGTATATTATCAATTTTATATTTTCAGACTCTGCATGGATGTCACGGTTTTGTATCGATCTCGGTAAATACTCCTTTCAAAGAGCGTGAAAATAATGGCAACTGATATGGCAGGTGGTACTCTTGCAGCAACTATGCTGGGTTTGAATGGAACTGATGTAGAGGAATTGTGTAAAAACATGAGTAGTTTATGTGGAAATGAAACTTTGCTGAATAATGGTACAAATGCCACAGGCAATAACACAGAGGGACTAGCTACTGGCTCACTGGAACTTCCGCATCCGGTATGGTTAACAATTGTGTTAGGAATAGCAGCCGCCATAGTGATAATTGTGACTGTTCTCGGGAATATTCTGGTGCTTCTATCATTTGTACTAGAGAGGTCTATACGACAGCCAACAAACTACTTTATTGCCTCCTTAGCCATGTCTGATTTACTCATAGGGACGTTTTCCATGCCATGTTTTACATTGTATTTGCTTTTGGGCTACTGGCCGCTCGGTGAAATTATTTGCGATATTTGGTTGTCTTTAGACTGGACGATTTGCCTAGCGTCTCAGTACACCGTTTTCTTCATAACAACCGATAGATTTTGCAGTGTTAAATATCCGGCGAAATATAGAAATTGGAGAACGGACAAAAAAGTTAGAATAATGATAGCATTGTCGTGGACTATCCCATCATTAGTATTTTTTACAACAATTATCGGTTGGCAATATTTTGTTGGTGAGAGGACTGTTGAACCGAAAACTTGCGAGGTCCAATTCTTGAGCGACCCATTATTTCCTTTTTTGCTTACAATTGTGTACTTCTGGACAACTCTTATAGTCATGATTACGCTTTATGTTGGAATTTACCGCGTTGCCTTGGCTCTACAAAGGAAATCCAATGAAAAACATAAGAAAATGAATCATGCTATGGAACTTGCAAAAAATAAAACAACTAAGGCTTCAAGCGGAGGAGCCAAAGCGAAAGAAAGTAAGAAGCGAGTTGAAAATAATAATGCTCGCTATTTAAGAGGTGTGCAAGAAAATAACACATTGACAACGAGTTTCTCGAGACATTCTGACAATGAATATTCTAAACCGTCTGAGGAAGACCGAAGTTCGAGTCCTGCATTTGCTTCGGATGAAGATGAAGGTAGCAGTGCAGAGATGAAAAAAGAAGGATGTTATGTGAATAGTGCGGTTCAAACGGAACCAACATTGAAAGGCATGCTTGGTTCTTCAGTAAACCACATGTCACGTCTAGCCTTTTCTCTATCCGGAACAAGTGTTAGCGCTTCACAGGCATCAAGTTCCGGGGATAAAGATTCATCTGACGAACATCAACATCAACATGAAGTGGATCATATTAAGCCATTATTGCAAGAGTCGAATCAAGTTATGTTCAAACCAGTTAAAGAATCGCCGAAACCAAACTTTGACGGAGTACTTTTTAAGGAAGAAAACCAAATCATTGACAAACATAATGAATCCGCAACTCCATTAATTGAAAGTGATGTTCTAGATGGTATACGATATATCGACGAGGACAGCCTTAAATCCCTAACTTCAACCGACAATGTCAAACTTTTAGCAGAAATTAAAGAATTGTCACCACGTAAAACAGAGGCAGAGTCTCCTGTCTGGAGAAAGAGAGTTGTTGATGATGATAAATCTCTTCTGGTTCCTAATTCAGGAGAGTCTGGAAGTTCTGAAGCAATGTCATCATCTGTCATTGAAACAACCGCGCCAAATCACGCGAACCATAATAAAAAGTGCAATGATGTTAATAATAAGAAGGCAGACTCTCACAAAGTGCTAACAAAAAGTCGAAAAGATGAAAACAAAAGACTCAAATCTAATGTACGAAACCATAATGATAAGAAATCAAAAGATAAACATACAATAGGTAGTCCATTACAGTCTTTAGTACGGTCACTAAGACCATCTGCTAATAAGAAAGCAAAGCCAGTAAAATCAAAATCAGAAAATCGAGCACGGAAGGCTTTAAGAACGATCTCCATCATCCTGGGTGCTTATGTACTTTGCTGGACACCGTATCACGTGATGGTATTCATAATTGGAATATGTGGCAACTGGAGTTGTATAAACTTACACGTTTATTACTTCACTTACTGGCTGTGTTACTTGAACAGTCCTATAAATCCATTCTGTTACGCCTTCGCCAACGCCCAGTTCAAAAGAACGTTTATTAGAATATTAAAATTTGACTTCCACCGTACGTAATGAAAGACGTATTAGTGTAAATCATTTGTATAGATATCATATGTTGTACATTCGATATTATGTGAACAAAAAATAAGCAATGAACAGTTAATAGTTACGCGTATGCTATGGAAATAAAAATAATTTGATTCGCGTTGGAATAACATGAAAAAAGATATGAAGAGACAAAAGCGGAAGCTTCAGAAACAGTACATTAGTTACATACATTCAATTTTTGTGTAAATGCGTTATAATTGTAAATGGTGCGCAAGTGTACGAGCATATAGCAAAATCATGATAGACATGTCCGAAACTGCAAGTTAACGTTACATTAATATGAACATATTCTTCTTTATCATTTGTTTAAATGACACTCCTATCAAGGAATTGTGTTAATGAACAATGTATGTTATGAAACGCTTTCTACGTAGATAATTGTATTATTTGCCTAAAGTAAATGTATTGCAACCTGTGTAAATCATGCTACGTATTTTTAAAAATGTGTGAAATGGAATTAGGGGATGTTTCCCTAACCATTTAGATGTATTTCTTATTTTTGGAATAAGAATCTTAATGCAAATGTTTTCTGAAAAAAATAATGAGTAAATTTAATATACGTTTGTAAACACAGACTTATATTAAAGTAAGTTTTGGTTTTTTTAGTACAAGTTTGTCAGAAATGCAACAAAAATGTATTTTCTTTGAAGTATTCAGTCCAATGTTATGAATGACATTCTCCAAAAAGGAAAGTTCATATTGCATATTCTTCTAAAGATCATATTGCGTATATAAATGTCTGAATTATTATGAATTATGTGAAAAAAAAACAAACAAATAAAAACAATGTGCAAATCAAGAGAATTAAGCATATGACCAAAACTTTTTTTTCAATGGTCATTCCATTCTCTGGATACAAAACGTTAAAATGTAGTTTTTATGATCATACTTATTTGTGTGTTGCTTCTTACACAGCTCAACATCCATGAGTCACTAAAGAATTGATGAAGAAATTATTTTCCACAAGGTACCTTTATCGTATTTCTTTAATAATAAGAGTTTTAGCTTTAATGTCTAAATAAACAAGTAATGTGATAGAATTTACCACATTGAAAACAGAAATGAAACCATAAAGACGTTGATTTACAATTGCATTGTCTTAAATTGATGTAAAAAAAAGAGTAATATAAGTGGTATTGACCGCAAGTTTTGCGCCAGATGACGCTTCCTTTTTAATTTATTTAGAAATTTCACCCTACATATAAACCAATTAATGGGCCCATATAGAAGACGCAGCTATCAGCAGTCAGTGGAGTCATCGCGAGGTGATGTTTGACTACATCTAGCATATTCACTTTAAAAACATATTAAGGTTAACGTTAATATAACACACAAAAGTAGACGATATTCGTCGAACTAAGTCAGCTAGACACCTGGTTTATTTACCAACAAAATAGACCAATTCATTTACTTAATGACACAATTTTTTACTTGTCGTTTTTTAGTTTAATTTAGAGTGTTGCCTGACCGTAACGCTGACGTTTGGTAATCTAGTCTTAAAATGGTTTTTAAAAGAATTAGGCAGAAAGCCCCTAAATGGAGAAAGTGTATGTTTTACAACAACAAGGACGTTGAGAATTAATAATGCCTAAATGAAAATTTAAGATGGATGTATATATCAAGAGAGTATATAAATTTTATTCCAGAACTATATTTTAATTAAAGGATATACGTACAACTTATCTTCTTTAATAATTCCGAGACTATACAAATTTGCACTATACAAATGAGCGTTCATGGAATGATGAAACAGGTTATTTAAAAACCAAGTGATGTAACATTCACAAGTCACTTTGCAATGAGGCTCATTTTTTTATGTCTATAACTTTATTGCTAATTTTCCCATGATAATAAAGCAACATGCCTTAAGATTCATTATAATTTTAATGCAAAGTTTGTTAAATATATTTAAAAGTAAGATAATTGCACTATCAGATAGATATTAATGCTAAATTGTTCGTATATATTTAATCTATTTATAGAATTATAAGAGACTAAAAATCGTGGCGTCTATTCTTCAGCAAGGCTGTTGTTAACTTTATATCTCCAGTGTTGTCACTTAACATATATGGCCAAATTCATTTTATTAACTATATGTTTATATATAAATTTATCACAAACCCGTGCTGATTTCTCGACTCTGTAAAATGGTATTGGTCTGCCATTCATATATTTGTCGTGACATCATTTAATTTATACATACATAGTCTAAAGATGCGCAAAAAGTTAGCGTTACACTATAGAGGCGTCAATGAACAATGATTCTTTTGCACTTTAAACAGTCGTTATTTTGTGTATCTGATAAATAGAATATTATATTCGTGTAGGTTCATTACTGATTTTTTTGAATTCGTTGAATAAAACAATTTCATCTCGACAGAGGCTCGCGTAATATGATGTTCTTAAACCTACATTGCACATTTGCATTTATAGAATACATCTGACTGAATATTATTTAAATACTCCATAACTGATAAGATATTATTGTTTGACAATATCAGTGTTTTGCTGATTAAGATGTGTTTTGGCATGGGCACTGTAGAAAGTGCATATGAAAGTTTATATGTTAAAATGTTTCAATATTCATACATTAACATTTTGATTACTTCAAAGGCATACTGTTGAAGCTAGAACATTTACATGTCATGCTTTTCCTCTATATATATCTTTTGGATATGAAAATGTCATTGGCATCTGTGTTGACATTTCGCTTCCTGTCTATTTCATTTTGTATATGTGATATATGTATATAATGATCGTATTGGACACTGTAAATGAACATTTAGTACCTTTGATGAATATGTTGAGAGACCATTTGCATTGTATATGAAACAATAAATAGTAAAACAATGTTCGGTTTTTGTTGTTGTTTTTTTTGTTTGTTTGTTTTTTTAAGCAGAAAATGTAGTATTTTACTAATCAAATTTACACACTTTGATTCAGAAGCTGCTTTCTCCTGTTTTTTTTCAGATCATGTTAAATCGGTCCTTTCTTACAGAAACAATACCAGGTTTATAATAATACTTATATTCATACTATATTTACTAATAGTGGGTAGTTTTTTTAAACATACAGTGTAGATTATCGTATCTTATATTTATATACTCAACTCATCTTTATTTTATGTTAACTGAAATACGGTGTAGCGGTTCCCTGTTCTATGGTCTATGTTTTATGTTTAATATAACTTGAGAATAATACATCTTAAACTTTCTTCAGTTCCATGATTAAATAAATATGTCATCGCAATTAGCAATCAATGTGAACACTTTGACGCATTGTTATATCATTAATTGCTTTGACTTTTATTTTTGCATTTCTCTTAAATTAATTCAAATGGAACATTCCTGAGTAATGCTTGTACTTGGTCATTTCGGTTTTATAAACCTTTTATAAAACTTTCTTTTTCATTAATTTAACGCCCCATTACTCGTTCGGTTTGACAACCATCGAATAACTTGGTATTTCCTTACGATCTATTTTAGTCGCGCTTAACTTATTTAAAATGTCTTCATTTTTTAAAATTATTTTGGCTTACAGGCAAATGCGGATCATAAACAATTAACTTTATCTAATAAAGGCATGTTTGAATATCCAACAGGTTATTACACACCCTGTTAAACGGAAGTTGTTTTGTTACGAACGGGTTACAAATTTTAAGTCGTTAATGTTTTCTAACGAAAACTTTAAAGGGAGACACAGGCAAAATTTTCATTTCTTCGTTTTGATTTTTTCATTGATTATTCTGTAAATGTCCTTAAAATGAATACACTTGGAAGTCACAGGAACAAAACTTTCTCCTGAATATGAATAAAATGGAGGTTTCTTAACTTGACCCACGTGAATCAGGTTAGAGCATTAAGAACTCACAATAGTTGTCACAGTTAACTCTGGAAACGTTTAAGAACATATCAAATGAATGGGACAGACTTGTTTCAATCATACAATATCCACAATATCAGTTAGTGTAGTTTGTTCAAGTCACACGCCTTGTGTTTAAGCTACTCGTTGATTCTGTCCGCGTCAAAATTTCGTTCAACATGTATAGATATATTTACGCTTCAAACCCAAAATATATAGAATTTATACTGAGATTCATGTTGGAACTTTAAAAAGATCATTTTAGATTTTAGTGTTATTTTGGTGCATCAGATCATTTTAATATTTTTGTCATTAATTTTCCTGAATATCCCTTTAAGTAATTAATTACAACGATAAAGCATGTTTGTTTGCAACTGGTAAATGTAAAGCTTAACATGCTGCAAGTTCTTATAAGAAAGTTATTTTTTAAGGAGTGAGCTTTGCTTCTTAAGTCTTTATTCTGGCATCGCTTCTTAAAATAACATCTTCATACTAGGCCTACAGTACCTATCACAGGAAGTTTTTGTTTGGAGACAGTTTGATATATTCTCGCTAGAAAATGAATGTGTGCGTGTTAGACACACATACACATATAATGAATAAATTAAATGTAGATTTAAAAAGAAAAACAACAAACAAATTGCTATATTTAGTTATTTAAGGCTCGCCAAAAGTTTCTTTGAGATGTTACATTAATTCGGTAATTTAATAATCTGATTTGTTAAAATGACATTGAACTTAAATGTTGAATGCATCGAAATTGCTGTTCTAGGACGTACATTTACGACACACGGAATCTTTGCATCATCTTCCCGGAAACAAAATGTAAACAGTAAAAGCCTTAAAATATTCATTTTCAGGTTAAAAGTTCAATGGCGAAAGCATTGCATCATCTTACCCGAAACAAAATGTAAACAGTAAAAGCCTTAAAATATTTAGTTTCAGGTTAAAAGTTCAATGGCGAAAGCATTGCATCATCTTCCCGGAAACAAAATGTAAACAGGAAAAGCCTAAAAATAATCAGTTTCAGGTTAAATGTTCACTGGCGAAAGCTTTGGTTTTTTTGTTATTTTCAGCATAGATCCAGTTGGTTTGATCGACAGGTCATGTTCATGAGCAATACATATCTACATTCACATTTAAAGTGCAATATAATTATGTGACTCTATCACACGGTCTTCCATCAGTGGATCAAACAACTCCATATCGATTAAAAAAGTCGAGAATGAGGAGGACTACAAGCTTTGTTTCAGGCAGTGAGATTGACACATACATTAAGCTTAGACTTTGTGGCTTTTTCGTGTGTAATATTTATAACGAAAAAAAAGGTGATTTTATATTCATTAACGTGTTTTTGTTTCCCTCTAGTTAATAAGTGATTACGAATCTGATTCCCGATGTTATCATTTATTAATCCATATTCCAGGAACACAGCAGCACAGGAGACGGAATTGCCTTTAAATTTTAGATTTTTGTCTGGCATGACAAACAAACCGGTGTTGATTAATTATGAATTGGAAATAATTTTCAATAAAAATAATAAATGCTGTCACAGACGTGTGAGTACCATATAACGGCGTGTTGTATGTATATTTAGCAATATCTATTCAATGCTAGTACATGGAATAATGCTTTTTAATTTTTGGAGATTAAACACTGCCTATCATTTGCGGCATTTCATAAGAAGTATTTGTGATATCTAACAAGTAGTCTTGAACAGTTTGAAAAAGTTCAATGAATGTGAAAGGGAACCTCAAACTAAGATTATACATTAAAGATATTTAAAAGGTTTTTTTTTTGTTCACTCAAGTATTAATGCTTTTTAATTTGCCCCACCCAATGGATTTCATCAAATGCATATCACAATGTGGTATTCTAATACAGACACTCACACGGACCAATAATGATAAGAAGGTTTCTTTAATTTAAAGCAGGTTATCATGTCAGCGTATCAAGCTATAAAATCGTGCAGGAAAAAAACAATGATTTTACGGTATAAATTTTCAGTTGGTCTTAAAAGAAATAACTTGCTTGATTTTCAATCTATAGATTTCCTGATTACTGTGGCATAAAATGTTTACAAAAACCTTTTAAGTAAATTAAATAAATATTACTGAGCGTGCAGAACGACTTTCGTTTTAGCCGAATTTTCTAATTATTTTAAAAGATTGACTATTATATTTGAACCATTGAGTTAAATAGTGTTCATGCGAACGAAATTATAGAATAATAAAATTGATGTTGACATTTACTTGTTAACCTCTTACCTCATGAGCATATTGCGAAAAATGGCCATTTTCATTGAAAACCCTCCTGTAACAAGTTCAAATTGCTATGAAACTATGAAAAATGCATCAATGCTAATGAAACTTGGCACAAATGTTGACTAGACCATAACCTGTGAAACAGCATGCTCAATCGTAACTTTCCTATTATCATGGCAACAGGGGGGGGGGGGCGTCTCAAAATTGCAAAAAATCACTATTTTGCATTGTTTTTTTCCATCAAAACTGATTTCAAAGTGCTGCAACTTCTCAATGAATTGAGATAGAGTAAAAGGCTTTTCAGCGTCGGTTACTAGTTACCCTAAGATCGACCTGAGGCCATTTTTAGCCTGTCACA